GATCATGTGAATGTGCTTAATGCCACTGAAGTGTACACTTAAAAATGCCTTCATGCTTTGTATATTTTACCACGATTTAAAATAACAACAAAATTACAATTTGCATAGGAGCACGGTGACTGTCCTGTCACAGAACTGCAGCAAGAACATACTTCCTCAAAAACCTTCCATAAAGAATGAAACCAAAGTCTTGATGGAATTCACCATCTCGCTGGTTGGAACCATGCAGGCACGACATTTTATTGGCTAAGCAAAAAGTAAGAGCTCAGACAGCGAAGAAGGGTCCTGTGAGCCCACCACACCCATACCCAGAAGGTGCGCCCAGCAACCCCAATCCTTCCTCCCTTTGGGTCCCAGCAGTGTCTCCCTCGTTGAGTGGCGACTCCTTGGGCACCTCTCCTAGCACCCACGTTCACTCCAGACAACCAGGAGCCCAACCCGATCCCAGAACCCAGGCTGGTATTTCTAGAAAGCCAATTCATTTGAATTCCATCTTCTTCCTCAACTCCCGGAGGTCCCGTCTACTTCCTATGCTCTGTCCATCCTAAAACCCATTCCCTCCAAAAACCAGTCTTCTTCACAAGACCAGATCTAAATGCCCCCTCGCAGGAAGCTGCAACCCACAGCAAAACGCCTTCCGGAGCCCCAGGCACTCCAAACAATGCCCTCTACCAGCACGCTCCGCTCCTCACTCAGCCAGCCCTGCCCTCAGACACCTGCTGGAGTGCAAAAGAAAGGCAGCAGCACAGCTGGCTGAACGTGCAGGCTGCCAAGCCTCAGGAGGCCTACCAAGGGGCTCCGGAACAGGCATTAAAACAAGCACAGAAAGTGACCTATGCCACCCAGCACCAGCCTAGGCTGTCTAGTCTGAACCCCCTCCCAAGCAATGTCTTAGATACAAACGTCCTATCATCCGTGCCTAAGCTTAGGAAGGTAACCGTGGCTTCCCTTCATCCTTCCTTGCAGAGAGATTTGTGAGTAATCTGAATGTTCACTGTACTAGACAGACCACAGGTGTCTGCGTCACAGTGTAGCTTAGTTTACCTCTGTTCTTGGGCTTCCACCACATCACAGCTCTGACTTTTTTAAGAAGAAAGGCAACTTCCCATGGGAGGAAACAATGTTTCTTCAGAGGTAAACTGCAGCCTGACTGATCTACTTTCTAAAGGATTACACCTATTTCAGTTGACCTTTGAAGAGATTTTTTTTTTTTTTTTAAAATACTTGAGTCCCGACTGGTGTGGCTCAGTGGACTGGACACTGTCCTGCAGACCAAAAGTCGCCAGTTCGATTCCCGGGCAGGGTTGCAGCCTGGGTTGCAGGCGAGGTCCCAGATTGGAGATGTGAGAGGGAACCAATCCGTGTTCCTCCCACACATTCATGTCCCACCTTCTCTTTCTCCTTTCTCTAAAAATAAACAAATATTTTTTTTAAAAATGTTTTGAATGTTTCCAATAATGGATTTGTTGCCATTATTTTGTAATTTCAAATTTATCATTGTCTGATATTACCCATCTATACACAAATGACTTATAAGGAAAAAAGGAGTCGCAAAATAGGCTATTTAGAACTGCCTGGATGTTTAAAGTATGAATTTTAAATTCTAAACAAATCAAAACTCCTTCTATATTAAAATTCCATATGAACATGTCCACTATTTCCAATTATAAGTGACTCATTTCTATACCAGACATGTCTGAGGACTAAGGTAAAAGCAATCTGATAAAAGACAAAAGGTAATTTGAATCAGGCAGTGCAATGGAAAGATCACTGGACGGGGCCTCCCGTGTTCCAGGGCCAGTTCTGCCACGGCTGGGCGGGCTGACCTGGCTGTGGGGCCGAGGGCAATTATTTCCCTGTCTCCGGCTACGATGGAGGATATCTATCAACCGCTGACCTCACAGAGCCATTGGAGATATAGCAACACAGGTACATGAAATGGCTTAAGTTGCTGCTGTTTGAAAAACCACATTCCAAATGACTCCAGGCTGTTCAATTTCTGAAGTGCTGGCAGGTGTTCTACACTGGAAAGTTCCTTTCATTCACTCAGGTGATTCACTGAGGATCTGCTCTGCACAAGGTTTTATACTTGGTACTGGGGAGGAGTAGAGAAAAAATGAAGGTTAAGGTGTTCCTAGTATGTTCCACATGTGTGCAACACAGCTGGAGAAACAAAGTACATAATGACTTCATCAACAGTGCTGCGGACTGATCGCTGTGCCTCTCAGTCCTCCTGGCCACCACGCAGCAAACACGCTGTTGTCCATTCTACGAGGCTGAACGTGCAAACCACACAGATGTTTAGCATCTCATCCCAGTGACTGCAGACTGGTCTGGCAGCTCAGGGAAGGTAAAGATGAGGGAAAAGGCTCAACAGAAAGTGTCTGTTAAGGACGCTGGTTATGTCAGATATGCTTTCTTTCAATCCTCGTAATAATCCTGTGAAACAGTAATGTTCTCATTTTATGGATGAAAAACCGTTTCAGAGAGATAAGCAACACATCCAGGACACAAAGCAAGAAACCAGGTCGGGATCTGAATCAGTCTGTTCTGACTAAAAACACCTGATGCCGCTCAGCTCTATCACGGGTACGACCAGCAGGGAAAGAGGGGAGAGAGGAGGCAGCACTGAAAACAAGCCCAAGCCTGAAGCTAAAAGAAAATCCGCCAAGTCTAGGGCGGGGCGGGGCCAGGGAGCATCAGGCAGTTTGGGGAAATAAGGTTAAGGCAGAGATTGTGAAAAGACTGAATGTAGAGATGGCTAAGAAAAGGGGACTTAATCCTACAGATTTATAAAGTGGAACTGGAGACTGAGGAGTAGAGTAGGGGATGAAACCAGAGCATTAGGAAGCTAAACTTCATAGCAGGTCAGAGATGGACTGGAGAAAATGGTATGAAGGAGAACAAATTACTTAAAACCAAAGCACTCCAATATTTAAACAAACCTAGCAGCAATACTTTTGTAATGAAATATCATCAAACTATCTCTTGTATGGACCTTCCTTAAAACACATCTTGAGACTCTTTTTTAAAAACAGCTGTTGTGTCCTCCTAATTCTAATATGGGTTGGAAACTCCTTCCACCTCCAAAGGCATCTAAAAAAGCACGCTCCTTAGATCAGGCCACACTTAAAAACCTGGGGCACCAGCCTCCTAGCAGGAAGGGCCACACAGGAGTAAGAAGGGAGACTGCAACTCACAAACTCCTAGGTCAAGAAAAACAAAGTTGCAAAAAAAAAAGGTGGTATCTTTGCATTTCCACAAGCACTCAAAACTTTTTGTCAAGGAAAAAAGTTAAGGACAGACCCATGAGAATGACTTTCACTTTTCTCTCAAATTCACACAAGTTTCCACTTCTCACAAAATTCAATACAAAAGCATCAGCCTCATCACTTAAGGGCCCAAGTTCCTTTCTCTTATGGATGCAGAGGTTTTAGTGTTTTTGTTTTTTTGGTCTGGACTGATGGATTTAGTGCTTCTTTGGCTGCTCAAGCTCTCCTCCCATTCGATCTTTACCGCAAGAAAATTCAATTGCATTCCCGTAACCTAACCCTGAGCCGCATCAGGCCAACGCTCAGTATTGCTTAAACACATTTGAGACCTGGAGGAGGATCGTATTAAACCCTTTAGTAACTATCAGATAGACAGCAATAACCTAATTAGCCAGCAGAGCACAGGTGACAGAGGCCCCGCCAGTACCCTGGTCAAAGACACTGATGGAATCGTTCACCAAGGTGAGCGATCACCCTGAGAAGGGGAACTGGGGGAGAACACGGAAACTTGGCCAGGAAAATCTGCAGGGAAGTGTGCAGCTGGGGTTTTCGAAGGGAATTCCAGTGAACAGGAGCTGCGAAAGGAGTGGGCTCAGGGGAAGGTAATGTTTATCTTCTCCGCAAAATATCTGGTGTCAAGACGACCTCACTCCCAATTCTGCACGCCAAATTTTAACTTGAACCCTTGAGAAAGTGCAGCGGGCTTGAGGTTCTGGGGAGCACAGGAAGTGCCCAAACCACAGTCTGATGTCCTCATAGCCCTGCAATGGAAATACGACACCTGTGTCCAAGTACGGAGGTATTTCAACTTCGGTCGGGAGAGAGAAACTCCCCAAAGGTGACATCTGCTCCTGCTGCCAACGGCATTCTCAGACTACAGCCACTGGATGCTCAGTCTAAAGCTAAGGCATTAAACACCGTGAGTAAAACAAAGCTATTCCGATGAAAAGTGTAGGGGTCAGATGGCAATGCTACCGGAAATACGTGTTTTCATTTATCCAGGACAAGCCAAAAACCTTACAAATACCTAACTGACAACTCTATCACCCAGAGCCTGTTTCTCAAAGCCTCCAGAACCCGGCCTCGCCGAAGAGTCCGTCGGCAGTGCCCACGTTCTCGAGACCAGCCTCTGGCTATCAACCTGGACTTAAGAACCTGCTTTAACGCTTGAGCTCTGTAATACCCAAAGCCGAGTACACCTTTCGGGACCTTCAGAGTATTGAGTATAGTTTACTTTTTTTTTTTCCCTACTTTAAACAAATTTTTCTGCCTCCTAAAGACACGTCAGGCAGGCTTCGATGCCCAAAGGTTTGTCGATTTGTGTGTGGTCTCCAACGTGGCGCTACGGGTCCGTTAAATAAGAAACTTTCCGGGCAGAGCGTTTGGCTGCCACCTCTCAAAAAAAAAAAAAGTGGGGGGGACGTGAAGGGCTGCATCCAACCGCCGACCTCGGTTTGCCAGCAGCCGGCCTGCAGCTTCGCTCTCGCCAGGGACGCCGTGGCCGAGCGGGACGTAGGAAGGCTGGCGAGACTGTCGCTCCCCGGCCTGGAGAGACTCGGGCGGGGCCTTGGGGCGGCCGCGCCGGGCGAGGAGGGCGAAGGGAACGAAAGGCTCCCACAGCGGCCCGCCGCCCAGGGACTCAAGAACCTTCCCCGGGGCCATCGGCCCGCACCTGCCGCCGTGCCCGCCGCCCGTTTCGGTCCACGGCCTCCCGCCCGCGGGACTCACAGATTCAGCCGCTCGTAAGCTGTCGCCGCCATCCTGCACGTCGTCGCCATCCTGCACCACCACCTCCTTCCTCCTCTTTCCGCCTGCCCCGCCCCGAGCCGCCACCTCGGCTACGGCGCCACCGGTCACCCTGGCACGGCGGCCGCAGCACCCAGCCTGGCCCCACCCCTCTCCACGCCCCTCCAGGCCGGACAGCGAACGGGAGGCGGCCGTGGACAAACTTAGTGCGTACGCCAGACAGACTGTCAGACGTAGTGGGTGGGAGTGCAGTGACGTCGCCGCTTAGGATTGGCGGAGGGCATCTACAGGGGAAAGGAGGAGCCGGAGGAGCCGTAGGCGGGCGCCGCGGCAGAAATGCAGTGGCTGTGATGGGGAGCCTCTTGAAACTGTGTAAGGGGTGATCTACGTTGCAACGAGCATTTTGGTAGTACGGGGCCAGTGGCGCAATGGATAACGCGTCTGACTACGGATCAGAAGATTCTAGGTTCGACTCCTGGCTGGCTCGTAACGTACACTTTTTGTCCCATCTGAGGTAGATGTTCCACGGCTTTCTTGGGAAGGATTATAACGAAAGTGTGAAGATTAAATATCTTGAATTTTAACGCTTCTTTGCCCAAAATGTCATCCTTTAAGCTATATTTGCAACCCGGAGTTGTGCGAGGTCGTTTGCACATTGCGAAGCGCCGTATTAATGAACCACTTGAGGAGTCTCTGTAAAGTGGGTACATTTGGGAAAACACACCTGGAACGGCAGCAGTTTTGGAGTGCGGATGGGGAGGGGGCGCGTACTGTGGCCGGAGGTTAGCTACCGGAAGACACAGAGGCGCAGGGAAGGCAGCGGTTCTGGCCTTTTCCCTGTGGATGAGAAGACCCATTGGTGATGCGCAGAGCGGCTCAGGGCCAGTTTACCGAGATGGGGTGGGCTCCAGATCTAACCGCATTGGAGAAGGAACCGCCGCAGTGCGGCTGCGCGCGTCTGAGCGGCTCAGCAGTGGCGGGAGCCTACAGCCTGGTCCATTGAGAGCTGGGGGTCCCAAAGCAACATGCCCTCCCAATGCCATCGAGAAACCTTAAGACGTGGGTATTTTTACAGGAAGAAGACCCCAGGTAATCTCGTATATTCCTCTCATTTTACGGGTGCCTGGCTCAAAGACCTGGGAAGGCCCGACACGTCTGCGGCTGAGAGGGGACTTGAATGCGGGGAGTGGCTGAGACTTCGAACACTGTCCATTAACCAGTCACTCAATCGATCGTTTAATCACTCCAATATAACGTGTTTTCCTCCTAAGGAAATTACAGAAAATTTGTAAACTATAGAAAATTATTGGAAATAAAAGTAATGCTAGGTCTCATCTGGAGATCATCAATGTTAACGTCATTAATTTTTCCCTTCGAGGTTTTTTTTTTTTACCCCTATTTTTAATATGGGCCTATCCACACACGTACTTTTCCGAATTTGGCCTTATACCAGAAATGTCTGTGTTTCCTTTTTGTCTGCTTGGTTTTTTTGCGTGAGATTTAAGGTTATTAAATATTCTTTGAAGATTTCTCATTAGAGAAGTAGGTATTTTAAGCATTACTCTTTTGTTGGGAATTTGGATGGTCAGTTTAACTTTTTAAAAATAATTCTGTGTTGAATTATTTCATATATGTCTAATAAATTTCTAGATGTGGAATGATCAGGTGGTAGTTTTAGGGCCCATTTTATGGACATTTTTACCCCTTGGTATATATTTTCATAATCGCTCTCCAAAAAAATTAAGCCAGTAAACACTTTCACCAATTAACATGTTTCCTGGCATGCTATCCAGCACTGTGTATTACAAATTTTATTATGATTTATTCACAATTTTCATAATTGAAGAACAGGACCTCCCTTTACTTGTATATATTCATCACAATGTATATATTTTCTTTTGATATATGCATTCAGTGTTTTCTTGCAGATTTGTTAGACTTTTTAATATATAAAGGATTTGAATTCTTTAGCTACCAAATATTGACATTTTTCCTTATATTTTTGCACCTAGAGTAATTTGCACTTTCATATATTCCAGTGTTCCAGTGTTTTCCTTTATAGTTTCTTCTATTGCATATGTTGTTTAGTGTCTGTATTATTTTTTCCATTTACTTTTAGTCCATTTGTAATTTATTTTGTTGGTCCTCCCAATGCAAAAATCAATTCAGTCTGAAAGCCCATCACTCTTATTGAGCAATTAAGAGCTCTAAGCTCCTTGCTTGGACTAATTCAATCCTACCACAGTTCCCTAAGGTAAGCTCTGTTGTTGTCCCCATTTTTAAATATCAGGGAACTAAATTTGCTTAAAGTCATTGAGCAGTTAGGTGGTGGAGCCTGAGTTAAACCTTGAATCTGGGCTCTTGATCCCAAAGCTGTTCTGCCCACGGGCTTATCACGTGCCAGAGGGTGACCATGTGAGTGGACACAGGGCCATTCCCTGTCTGGGCATGAATGGTGATCACATATGCGCTCCCCCCGGTCCCCCTTGCCAGTTAGCAATCAGAAGACCTCCTTGCTAGTCCTGATGATGCTTCTACTCACCAGCTCTGGGCTCTTGGACATTTCTTCTCCTTTAATAAGATGGGGAATTAGGTTGCAGCCTTTCTGGTGAGGCTTTAAGGATGCTTATGGGCACCTGCTTGGGCTCTGAACACGTCACCGTGTAGAGTTCTGTCACCACAAAACTCAAAGAGACACAAGGGTTAATCCTTTGCCAACTGCATAATACAACCCACAGCCTTTGTGAACATTCAATGAGACTGGAAAACGGGAACTAATCCACATGGAAACAGGGGTTCCTCTTGGACGTTTTTAAAGGCCAAACAAACCAAAATTGGATTGTTAGGAAAGCAATGTTCAGGACGAGAAACCAGCCAAGGAGTAGTAATAGAAATTGACATCTCTAGCCAAGCTTTTCCTATAGTGAAATTATGTTGTCCATGTAAATACAATTTTTTATAAAATCTGCCAACAGGCTTTCCATGGAAACAATCCCAGCTGCAAATGAAGCTTGGTGGCATCACCCCAATTCCCTCTGCGGCCCACTTTGATGTCCTTTCTGTACAGGAGAGTGTGGCTCCCAAGTGCATCTCCCACGTATCTACATTTGACCCATTCTGTCTGTTGTGCGGTCTGCCTTCTTGCCAAGCCTCCAAATTGGGTGTGTCCCCTCACTTCCCCTCAGTCCCATGGGCAACGCAGGTCCAGCAGGTCCATTCGCTGATGCGATGGTGCACCTTACACTGCTTTGCATGGGGCAGGGCAGGGGGGAGGCAGTCATATAAACAGGGCTTCTCCTGAAAGGGTTGCATAACTACAGTTGTCATGGACCCAAGACCTTCTCCCGGATCAGACCTCTGGCTTCTTTTTCTCCCAGACTGTGACCCACTTTATTCTTTGTTTTCACCCAAAGTCCAAGGTCCAAATAACTTATTCACTTCCATTTTCAATCCAAAGAAAATGCAAACCCTACTTTTAGCAATGCTTGAAGAAAATGTACTTAATATCCCTGGGATCATCTTTCATTTCCACCCCCAAAAACTTGGACACTTTAGTAGGCTAAAGGATGTCCGCTCCCCGCCCCTGGCAAGATGTCTTAATCCCTAGAATCTGTGAATAGCTTAGCCTTCAAGGAGAAAGAGACTTTATGGGTGTGACTAAGCTGAGGGTCACAAGATGAGGGCGTTATCCTAGACGGTTTTTGATCATCAAGCACACCGTCTGGGTGTGCTCGATGAATTCCCGTGGGTCCTTATAAGAAAGCAGGAGGGTTAGAGGTGTGAGAACAGAAGAGATCCGAGTGATGGAAACACAGCCTGGGAATGTGAGCAGCCTTTAGAAGCTGAGAGGGGCAAGAATGGATTCTCTCCTAGAGCCGCCGGAAGGAATGCGGCTCTGCTGACGCCTGGGACTTTAGCCCTCTGTGGCCACTTCCCCCAGAACTGTAGGATGAATTTGCGTTGTTGTAAGCAGTAAATTTGTTACAGAAACAACAGGAAACCAATGGAGACTCCCCCGAGACAGCGATAAGCCCCTTGCCACACTCACAGTGAGTTCTGGCTAAGCAGCTTTAATGAATGACTGCACTCAAGGACAAGTTAAGGCCTCCAGAAGGTGGAGTGATCGAACAGCTCCCCTGGGGTGAGACTGCCTGGGACGGAGCGGCTCGGTGCACTGGGTACTTACTGTTCAAGAGTGAACTCACCTTTCTGTATCTCAGCTGTCCATAAAATGAGGGATTATAAAGAATACGGTCCTCGGAACAATACCTGTTACGTGGTGAGCACGCAATCAAAGCCAGCTGTTACCGCCGGGCCTGCTTTATCGTGGAACTTAAAACCAAACCACATTTCCCCACTGCTTCAGATCCAAGCAGCCCAGGGGCCGGAGCCAGCTAGCGTTTGGTCAGGACTACGCCTGTCTCCTCCCAACTCCCAAGTTCAGGGATGTCATGCTGATAGCCTAAAACTGGCCGTCCTGGGACTAGGGAGTATTCACATGAGAGAAACCAGCAGGCATTTCCAATCAGGGCTTAATTCCCACCCCACCCCCCACCTCACCCAAGCTGGTCTGCCAGCACGCCTTGGCCCAGACTCTCTTTTGCCCTGATTTTCATCCCTTGTAGCATCAGGGTCATAGGAAAACAGCTGCCTGTGCTTGTAAAGTCAGAGTAACTGCTCTCTGATCATTCAAAAAGATGGTTTATTTTCTAGTAAGATGCTACTGCCATCAGCGCCCCCCTCTCGGATTTCCCTGTCCTGGGCACAGCAGGCCTGGCAGCCACAAGCACTGAACCAAAACCTACGATGACGCCACCCACGGAGCAGTGACAGAGAAGTACCCGGGCCCCCGCCCCCGCCCCTTCCCCGTGCAACTCCTGCCTCCTGAGCCTGCCTGCCTCCGGTCTGCAGGGCAGCTCACCTCTGGGATTCTTTGGTCACAGACTCATTAGGAAAAAACCCAAAAACACATACACAAAAAGGGAGGAGATAAAACAGCCGCCGCAGCAGCATGGAGGGTCTCAATCAGAAGGACCCAGCTGAAGAAACCGCCAGTTCTTAGGTGAGTCCCCAAAGGGCTCTCGCATTCCTGCACATCTCATGAGCGAGGCACCGACTGCCTGGGTTCCACGCTACCTTTTCACGGCGGTTGCTATGGTGAGCCATCTTGGATGGTAGACCTAGTATCTCTGGGTGGAGCAGAAGCCAGGCCTCACAGACAACTGAGGCTCCCTGAGCGTGGGTTCCCTGCGGTAACTGCACGTGCAGTCGCTGGAATTAGGGCTCAGGGAACTGGTGCAAATGCTGATAAAGTGAAATGCTACTCTTGTTGCTGTGAACATCCCACTGGCCTGTGTCTCTGAACTAGGAGTCTCATAACTTCTGCCAGGATCGACGAAACCACAGGATGCCAACTTAACAGCTTGTAAGTACAGTCATGTGCCACTTAACAAGGATACGTTCTGACAGATGCATCGTTGGGCAATGTTGTCGTTGTGCAAACATCAGAGTGCACCTACGCAAACCTACGCGGTCCTGCCTACCACACACCTAGGCTCTGTGGTAGAGCCTAGTGCTCCTGGGCTACAGGCCTGGGGGGCATGTTACTGCACAAAACAACACAAGATTAAATGCAGTCAAGAGACACAGTAAACACGGGATGTGTGAGGCTGCTGCCAGTGTAACCTGGGATACCGTTTTACAGCCAACTATTTGTAAGTAGAAAATAAACTCTAAAAGAGCGATAAAAAGTATCGTACAGAAAATACATAAACCCGTGATGGTCATTTCTCATTGTTATCAAGTATTAGGCAGCACTGTACATGATTGCACGTGCTACACTTTTATACACCTGGCAGGGCAGGTTTGTTTAACCAGCATCACCACAAACACGACCAACACTGCCCTACCACGTTGAGGGCTATGTCACGAGGCGACAGAAATTCTTCAGCTCCGTTATAATCTCATGGGGCCACCTTTGTATGTGCCGCCCATCGCTGACTGAAACACGGTTATCAGGCGCCTAACTATGGGGCACCATCTCAGTCCCTTCCCAGTTTTGACACCCATGTGTTCCTTTAAGAATCCAGAGCTCAAAAAGGAGACCACATCCAGTGAACAAAAAGCACCATCTTCTTAATCTACTCACACACAAAAGAAGACCCGGTAAACGGCATCATGTTTGGAGCACACTTTAATAGTCTACAAATTGATGCAGTTTTATTGTCATGATATTTTGAATCACTTTACAGTAACAGTAACATTTCAGGAAGATTTTAGTAGTAATATTTTGCACACTTTCATAGTAACAGTGAACTTTGGAATAATTTTATGGTAAAAGATGATACAGAAAAATAATTTTCCCTGCACAGTTGAAATTTTCATACACTCTGGAAATTTCCCACCTCCGAAACGAGGATCAGAACAATAGATCCTAATACATTTTGTTCATTTTTTTTCTGTTGCTTTTAAAAGTTACTTCACATAGTAACTGGGAGATTAGGACTATTTGTGGCACAAAGGAGCGCAGAAAGAATCTGGTTTCCTGGCAGACTTTTATAAACAAGTGCACCAGACAACGATGATTTGGGGTGAGGTCTCTCACACACTTTTTCCAAAAGCACCCACTGCCCTCACAGCTCCCACTTTGACACACGTGGGAAAGGCACACAAACACAGCATGCAAAGGACTGGGAAGGCCAGATCATTCTTTCGGGTCCCAACACTCCTGTTTTCCTTCTGTGTGACTCGAGCCCACGGAAACAAGGCGGTGGCAGCCCTCGAAGGGGATGCAATTTCTGTGACGATCCCTCCTGCCACCCAGGACTCAATGGCAAACCTCAGGACTCAGCAGGAAGAGGTTTTCACTGGGGCACTCACCACGGAGCGATGGGAGTCCTGTGCCGGGGACAGGGGACGAGGGGGGCAGGACCAGGTGAGAGGCGAATGAACCACCCCACTCGGCGGCAGATGGGGAAACGCCAGGCAGACCGACCCAGAGAATCCGGACAGAGCCGGCCGAACTGGGTTCCTGGCCTGAACGGCCCAGCCTGGGGAGGAAGGGGAGCTGGTGACGGGTGGCGAGAAAAAACTAAAGGGCAAAACGAGGCACAGAAGGCTGGAGGCTGGCTTTGGGGTCTGGAATCAGGCCACAATTCTCCTCATTTAGCTGAAGTCCAACAGGTGTCCAGGGAACTTGGGAAGGGCTATGTGCTCTAACTTTTACAGCAAACTTACTCATCCTGGTCTACCAGGCGCTTGTTTTCTTTCTAAGCCACCTGGAAGTACAACCTCGTTACGGTTCTATTTGGGCAATAACTTACAGAATGTTTAGAATAAGCAGGTAGGTGAACATCTCTTCCTGGCTTACACGCAAGGGCCTGGGTAGGAGAGAAACAAAACCAGAGTCTACCCGGTGCCCTCTCCTAGGACGCCGATCGCAAGAGAAGCTGCTTTTTGGATTTCGTCTGGGAATTCTCTTCTTTGCTCTCCAATGACATAAAATATCTGCAGCGAGATCAGAATCACCCCAATCAAGGCTACTTTTAAATTTTCATTTAAAAAAGTCAATCACACACTTAACTAGTTAGTTTCCCAATTTGCAAACGCAACTGTCTTTACTTGAAAGTGGAGCAAAGGTGAGTCTGCAAGGCCGAGGAACATTCCTGGATTGGCAAAGACAGGTTGAGACGTATCGGCCGGCTTCACCTGCCCACAGCCTTGCCCAGGCTGAGCCGGAAGACTTGATGGGAAGAGCGGGGTATGACCTCCGGGGGTCACTGCCCAGCCCCACGCACTCCCGGATTTTTCAGGAGGCTCAGCCCGTGAAAAGGAAGCGAGGAAGGCATGCAGCGGGGACAGAAGAGACATCTAGCCGAGGATCCTGGCAGAACGAATTTAACAAAAATGTGAAACAATCCACAGTGCCCATGCTGTGCTTCTTGCAGGCAGCTGCTGCCGAGTGAGGCCAAACGCAGCCCAGATAGGAAGCTGGGCCCCGTGGAAAGTCTGGGAGTCCCAGAAGGGCTCTGCTGACCGCCCACCACAGCCCCAAACCCCCAGTCCCCTAGTCCCTTGGTTCAGGGTGCCAGGTGAGGAGGCGGAGAGCAGATGCCAGCTGCCGTGCCCCAGCCCGGCTGGACGTGGTGAAGACGGCCCAACGCTCCTGGGACAAGGCCATGGGGCAAGTATCAGCCAATCTTTTAAAACATTTATGTATATATCTTCTTCTTATTGACATACCAAGGGGCCTTGACCCCCATCTGGCCTCAGGACAGTGACATGCAGGGCAAATTTCGCCTCTTCAGGGCAGAGGCTGCCTTGGAATCTTGCCAGCGTGTGGCACGATGCAATGCATAGCACCTGATGTCAATCTGCTCTAGTCCCTGCTGACCTTTGCTTAGGGTTACGGCGCCCTGACCCGCCGGAGGCTGGCCGCACAGCCACACCACGGGAGCTGGCTGAGCCACGGTGACGGTCGAACTCCCCCTTTACCTGCGATGTGGTGAAGCTCTTATCTGTGAGGTATATTTTGTGTGTGGAAGACTGACAGTGGAGGGAAATAATTTTTTTTTAAAAAAGAAGAAAAAACAGATGACAGCAATGTACCTTATACTGGTCTCTGCAAACGTAATGCCAGCACCAAGAATTGGGTAAGAGAGACACTTGTGAAATGACGGTAATAACTTCTCCCCAGGCATGCCCTCCACCCTGGCTTCGAGGTCTCACACACACAAACACGCCTCGTCTACACGGGGCTGGCTCTCAGGACGCGGGCAGGACTTCCAAAGGGGATGTCCGCACATGGGGTCCCGAGACTCGTCTGTGGGGGAGCGACTCCAAAGTCACAGACTCCGGAGGGCACGAGAGCGGAAAAGGGCAAAGGGGAAAAGGCAAACAGCTGGGCAGAGAAGCCTGGCGCCGGCGCCAAGCTCTTCGTCCCAAAGCCCTCTGCTAGGACAGGGCCAATCTGCATCGGCCCCCCGCCACCTGTGGGGCAGGGGAGATAGGGGACACACAGAGGGCTGTCAGCGTACAGGAGGCCGCCCTGCCTCGCTTATTTCAACACCTGGCTCTGGTTTATCTAAGAGACAGAGCCCACGTTAGGGCCTCCCTCTCGCCATAACACGATTAAAGTTCGCAGCCCGTCTACAGGGTTACTGTGGCTTGGGGTGGAAGGAAGCCTTGAATCGTGTGTGTGCACACACATGCGCACACCCGTGTGCGCAGCGGGAGGTCAGGTGCACGCGTTTTCCTGAAGGGAGGAAAAGGGCCGATGGATCGGCAGCTGAAATCTCTCTTCCAGGGACATTATGAAATATGCCCAGTGCAAACCTTTCCCTCTGGAGCGAACGGTCCCCAGAGGGGACAGGTAGGCTCCATCAGTTGCACTGATGTGATCTCTCGTCACATGCCACACGCTGGCTGGAGCGTTTCCTGAATAATCTGATGAGCGCCTGCCAGCTGAGAAAGGCCCTTGGAAAATGCACACACCACACAGAGAGGGGTGGCCTCGCTGGGGAAAGGAAGGACCCACGGTGTGCACGCGCGCGGGCACTCGCCGGCCAGGCCCTCCTTCCCCCACCCCAGCTCCCAGGCGGACCGCTGGCATCAGCAGGTGGATTTGTCCCTGTCCCGCCCTGCGGTCTGCACGAGGCTCTGGCTAGAAGTGGTGCTGGTGGAGGCCAGCGGACGAGGGGCCTTTCTCCAGCCTCTTGACATGGCAGGACTGACAGAACAGGTGGTCCTCTAGGGGGTAGCAGCGGCGGCCATCTTCGTCGTTGAGCTCCAGGCCACAGTCCTGCGTGAGGCAAAGACATCCAGTGGTCGCAAACGAAAAGGACGGCAAGACTGACACAAAGGCCACCGTCCCTGAGACCAGCACGGTGATTCTATGGCGGGGAAATGCGGACCCCAGGGACGGTCTGGGCTGCACGTCCCACACCCGGGCTACCAGCCACGTGTCGCTATCGAGCACTTGAAATGGGACTCGTCGGAAATGGATGGGATGTCAACGTAAACACACAGCAGTTTTCCAAGACTTAGGAAAAAGGTTTCCTAGCGACTCCGTGTGGAAATGATGACGCTCTGGGTCAAACACAATTCTATCACCAAGATTGATCCCGCCTATTTCTTTCACTTTTCTAAGGAGGCTACTAGAAAACAAAATGACAGGCAGGACCTGAACCTGTGGCTCTCGAATTTCCACTGGGCGGCGCTGGCCTGGGAGGCGTGGAACAGAAGGTCGAGCGAGTGTCTCCCCTCTTTCCCCAGGGCAGGGGTGCCACCGACAGCACCTACCTGCTTCTTCAGGGCCGGCGGTGGGATGGAGCTACCTGCCCCCGCCGCCCTGCTCTCCCAACCCCCCACACCACAAAATGAATCTCATCTCCTTCCATTTAATTCCGGTGGAAAGTCCACAGGCTCTGACGCCGCCTGTGCCCTTTACAAGGGCTGGTGAGAAGCGACCCCGGCTGGCCTAATGGTCACGGCCCCAGTGGCTCCTTCAGCCTGGGAATGATGATACCCGGACAAAGATGGGGCAGATGGCCCCCACCCGCCTTCTCACCGACCAGCCACATCCCTGTTTCCAAGGGCAGGGGCGGGGCGGGGAAAGTTTCTTCCCTATCTCCAGGGCTCAGCTGAGGAAGAGCCTCCGGGCAGGCAGAACAGCCTACAAGCTGCAGGGGAGTCTACTCCCCAAATCGCACACCTGCCTGACAACGTGGCCCCCAGACAGAACCTGCACCCCACACTCCCCATGCCCCTCTCGCTCCGCAGCTTCAGGCAGGGCAGCTGTGATGGGCTCAGGCCGTGACAGGGACGAATGAGGAGAAAATAGCAAAGGCCTTCACGCCCCAAATGTCTGCGTGCCCTCCGACCGCCCCTCCCTCTGCCCCAGTTCCTCCGTCAGCTCGGACGGCCGCCCCTGGCCCGAACCTCGATGACCGTCTCCTGCCACAGTCGACTGGGCCGCTTTTCTCTTGGACTGCTCGTCAGGTTTGGGGGGCCGGGGCGGGGGGGCGGGGGACCTACCTCACAGTGGTAACATTCCACGTGGTAGTCTCTGTCCATGGACACGACACGGATGGTCTCGTCTGAGCCCTGGACCGAGAAGAGGGAGAACAAGAAGCCAGTTGGGGACCCACCGGGCTCCACACGCCGAGGGGCTGTGTCTGGGGCAGGGGACGGGACTCTGGGTAACAAGCAGGCGGCCTGAGAAGAGCCAAAATCGGCGATGGATACAAACACTGGTGGGGAAAGGGTGCCTTTGCTGATGGGAAGAAGCGGAGGGACAGGAGCCCTACCTCCTGGGATGTCCCAGTCCACACTGAAAAAACCACCCACCTGCTTTGGCTCACCTGCTTCTAACCCGGGGGTAGTGTGGAGTCAGAGAGTTTGCCCTGATCACAGGGGCAAACAGGGCACAAGAAGGGCAATGGGCGGGGCAGCCAGCTAAGGCGAGAGGGGCTTCCCGGCCAGGGCACCAAGGGCACGGCACGGATCTTGAAAACAGCCCTGGGGAGAAACTCGTGTCGCGGGGCCCGGGCCTGCAGGGCACCTTACCTCCGGCGGAAGGATGGGCAGTCCACAGGCTGCACACTTGGGGGCCAGCACCCTGCGGGAGAGGCAGAGCAGCAGTGAGGTGCGGGCTGTGCTTCTGGGGGACAAGGCCCCATGTTTTGGGGAGACCTATGCCCAGGCCTGCCCCAGGCCTCCCTCACTGGCCTGGCCCCAGAGCCTGGCTCACTGTCTGGGGCTCCTTCAGCAATGCTTAGGGATCATTCCTCGGTGGCAACAAGCACACCCGGCCCCCCTCCCTCAACTCGGGATAGACACTGTCTCCTTACCCCCCTCCTGGTGCCTGGTTCAGGCCAGGCACAGCGAGGGGGTGGAGGCCAGCCGAGTCAGTGGTTTCTAAAGTTAGGCAAAGCTGGAGATATGGAACCACGCAGGTTTGATCTGTTTTTTTGTTCCTAGTAAACATGATCCTTTAATCAGTTCATCTGCACAGGCACCCGCTGAGCTCCCGAGGCCCCTGCTACACTCCTCGGACCGCTAAGCCTCCGCTGGGCTGGGGGATGACCGGACCAGCCGCCTGCAGGCACGTCTCAGCAGGGGCCGCCTGGCCCTCCGCTGAGTGCCCCGCGGCGTGGCCCACACGGGCGGCGCCGGCCCGCCTTACTTGTGGTAATCTCGGACACAGTAGATCTTGTTCTCAGAGTCCACGGTGAAGGGCACCCCGTCCAAGCACTCGTTACAGATGACACAGCGGAAGCAGCCGGGGTGGTAGGACTTCCCCAGGGCCTGCAGGATCTGGGGACACAAAGGACAAGGCTGGGCCTCAGCGGCATGATGGGGAGGAACAGACGGTGGAAGGGAGAGCATCCCGCGAGGGGACCGTGGAATCGCGCCACACGAGGCACTCGCCCTGGGGTTTCCCTGGGACTGAGGTCAAGAAGTGACCACGCAGGAAAGCCAACCCCACCACGTGCATACACAGGGGAGGCCAAACAGGATCCTTCTCCTGAATTCATAAAAACTCCGGGGGGAACTTTAAACGGCTCCCTTTCAAAAAGTGTTCCGGTTCTTCGCAGGAAATGAGGCACAGCAGGGCCCCGAGAGGATCCATCCGGATCTGGGAAGCGGGAAATACGTGGGAAGGTTAAAGGAAGCGCCCTTGAAAATGCAGAGCTCGGAGGAAACCCCTCAGCTCTTTCTCAGCAGCTCGGACTCTGCGGCAGGAGGATCCAGAAGCCGTGGCTCCACCCCTGGTCACCACAATCCAAGTGGAGGCAGAGCTTCTGTCGTTCTTCAACGCAGAGAGAGAAAGCCCCACAATCCTCCCTCTCAGTGTCACTTGACCTGGATACGATACCTGGGGCTGTAAGAGGCCACCCTGAAACCAGGACAGGGCTGAGACGCCAGGGGAGGGGCCAGAAGAGCAGGAAAGAACACCCTTGGTGACGTTGTCCGCGAGTAACCAAATTCACCCACCATGGAAGTGCCTGCCTCCGAGCCTCTTAGGTGAGAGAAAGCAGTTTCCCTATTAGGTCAGGGGTTCTCAAAGCACAATGCCTGCAGCATCGGCATCACCTGGGAACTTGTGAACAACGCACAGCCTCGGGCCTCACCCCAGGCCCCCTGAATCACCGGCTCCGGGGAAAGGCCAGTGGTGGGGGTTTGAATAAGGCGATTCTGAGCACGCAGACATTTGAGAAGCACTGATCTGAGTTAACACGAGTCTGAGTTTTTCTATAACGTGCACCTGAAAGCATCTTGGCTGACTCAGTAGGAGATTCATTTCTGCAAATACCTGGGGCCTTGAAGCTTAGCACAAATCGTGGAGCTGTGGAAGCAGCACCTGCCAGCCTGCACCGAAGCACCCAGCTGCCGGCGACGCACCGAACGGCCATCGGTATTCGGGAGCGGGGGCCACACAGGGCCCCTCAGAAGAGGCCTTGCAACGGAGGGAAGGCCTGTTGGTGCATTGTGAGACCTGTGGGAACGATGTGCTGTGTTCCGGCCCCTTCCAGCGCCCTGACGCCGCCTCCAGAGGCCACACCGCACCGCGCACACTGCGGCCACGGGCGAGCAGGGAGGACTCCTGCTTTCCCAGCTTTCCAGCTTCCTCATTCCGTCTGGGCTTCCCAAACCTTTGAGGCCCCTCTCAAGCTACCAAAATACAAAGAACCGCTGGATAGGCTTCCAAAGTCCAACTGACAATTCAGACCCTGTTTTGGCAGAAAGAGACCCTTGAATTCATTTAACCCACACTGTGCCAGACACACAGTGGGATAAAGGTGCCATTTTGCTGCACTCTGAGGAGTTGTTTCTTTTTATGTCATATCTTCTTATGTAGTGTTCTTTTAGCAGGGGAAATGCCCAGGTCCAAGCTGCAAGCCCAGAGCGCTCAATCCGTCCAGGAAAAAAGAGGGCACAGACAGACAATTTACACAAAGTTGGACAGCTGGGGTCTGTTGGAGAACCAGGGGTGGTATCTGAGGGAATCTTTCTCTGCATCATTACAATTTTGGGTGACAGGTAAGGTTTCTGTTTTTAAAATTGGGCATCACTGCCAGACAGACATTCTCTAAAAGTTTTCAAGTCCTAGAGAAGGCCTGCAAGAATCCAGGTTTAAGTTCACAGTGTCCAGTGTGGTGGAGATTGTCTCCAAAATGCGATTCCTTTCCTTCCCACATGCATGGGATGATTCTCACTTCAAGAAGTGAAGAATATTTCCCGTCCCCCTGAGTCGAGGCTGGTCTTGTGACATCCTTTGATCAACGGAATGAGGAAAAAAATGATGTTCTGAAATTTCTGAGTCAGGATGTAAGAAGACTGGCAGCTTCTGCTTCCTCTATCTCTTTTTTTGTAACAATAATCATGCCTCGCATACACCTCCCTGGCTACGATACTGCCACTGTACAAAGCCTGCTTCCTCTCTCTTGCTGTAAGGAAGTCCACACCAGATACTGAATGAGATTAGTGGCCACAAGGAGAGAGACCTAGAGTGTGAGAAGTCATCTTGGACATTCTACTGTGCCACCAGCTGAACAGAGTTGAGAAAGTAACCTCAGCTGATGCCACAGGGAGCAGAAGAATCGCTCCACTGAGCCCTGACCTAATTCCTGACCCATGGAACCATGATCAATAGTAAATCACTGTTGTTTTACAGCGCTGTTTTGGGGGGTACTGTGTCATATAGCAATAAATAATTGGAACATCCTGAGGTTCAAAGAAGGCTTAGGATACCCAGAAATAAGAATAGGGTATAACTGTGTTAAAAAATGTGAACATCAGGACCCTGGCTGGTGTGGCTCAGTGGATTGAGTGCCAGCCTGTGAACCGAAAGGTCATTGGTTCGAACCCCAGGCAGAGCACATGCCTTGGTTGTGGGCTAGGTCCCCAGTAGGGGGTGCACGAGAGACAACAGATGTATATTTCTATACTTCTCTTTCTCCCTTCCTTCCCCCTCTCTCTATAAATAAATTAAAATTTTTAAAAAAGTTTGGACACTGTTGACCTCACAGGTGGTGGGTTTGTCAGAAGGACTTGTAAAATCAAGGACATATTCTGCTAAAGAAATGGTGCCCTGTGGAGTCAGGCAGGCACCTGGGGAAAGCGGGGGCGAGGGTGGGTGGCTGCCGCCGTCCTTCCCTGGGGGAATGGGTGGAGGCCGCCACGTTGCCAGGGAGGCCCGGCTGCTCACGAGGACACCGCAGCTCACGGGGCTGACTCTGCTGGGGGGTGTCAGGGCCAGTCGACAGCCCGTTCTCTTCATGAACGGGGACGGCTGCGGTTCACCATTGTATACGGGTTAGCATAAAACCAGCAGAAATGGGCATCTATGTCCCTCAAAGACATGCCTCAGAGTGTCCGCAGTGGCCTCATTCCTACGTAGCCCCAAATCGGAGCCCACCTAAGTCCCCATCAGCAGGAGGATGGAAAAAGAAATGCTGCATCCCTCCAATGGAACTCTACCTAGCCATGAAAATAAACAAACTACCAACACACGTAACAACATGAATGAATCTGAAAAACACTTTCCTAAGTGAGAAGAGGCAGCCCCAAAGGAGTCTCTGTACTGCACTACTTCATTTATATGACATTCCGGGACCAGCGAAACAAATCTGGGGCAAGAGGTGTCAGAACAGTGGGTGCCTTTGTGGGAGGGGACCTTGGCTGGAAGGAGGCCAGGGAGGGGCTTTCTAAGGTGTAGAATGTGGGATATGGTCTACGTCCTGATCTGGGTGGTGCTTACATAGGTTTATGCAAATGTAAAAATTCATTAGCTGTACATCTAAGAGGAGTTGTCTCTCAATAAAAATGTAAAAGCAAAAAAAAAAAAAAAAAAGCAACATTCAGCAGTTCTCTTTTCCAGAAATGAATTCATGAGTCAGTTTAGAAAGGAATTTAACTCTTCCCAACTAAAAAGAAATGTTATATAGTCATTTTTTCTAACCAGTATATTACAGAAATTCTGCAGGACCAATCTCCAATGGTAAACCATGTGATCCCTGAAACAGAATAAGAACTCCATATCCCTCAAGCCCACAACCTTGTCCTAGAAGGAGGCCAGGAAGGAAACACTGTCCCCACTGAAGAGATGAAGATATGACGAGCTCAGAGAGCCAGTGGCTGAACCAGGAACAGAGTGTATAAAACTTGCTGCCTGTTCTGCTGGTTCAAAAACTCATCTTAGGAAGAGACTGAGCCGGACAGAACACTGGGGGCGGGGCGGGGGGGGCGGGCAACACACAGAGCTCATCTGAGTCTCTGCGCTGGACTCCACGGTAGCTGCCACATCTGTGGTAAAAACAGCCTCCACTGGACAGCTCACCTGGGACGCTGTGGGAGGTCACAGGAAATCAGAAGGAGGCCCGCGTGCTCTGGACAGCCCAGAGCAGAGACAACTGTCTGAAACACAACACTGCGTGGGCTGGGTGGCGGAGGGTACTCATGGCAACAGGCCAATGGCGTGGGTCCTACTACAGCAAGCAAGCTGCGTGTGTTGCATGGGGCCTGCTTTTAATAAAACCGGCCAGACCATGAGTGCAGCTGGGAAGTGATGTTCTCTGTGGTTCCTTTCTCTTTTCTCTGAGTGCCTTCCTTCTCACCGTGCGCCTCACCGTCCTGTTCGGCGGACCCTACTCACCATGTCCATGATCAGGTGGCCGCAAAGAAAACATCTGTCCGCAGACTGCTGGAAACCAGAGTACTGCAGGGGAAAGAGAGAAGGCAGTTAAACGCCGGCCGGACATGTGGATCCAGCCCCGCGCCTGCTGGTCACGATGACAACAGGGAGGCTCCCAGATGTGTCATTCTATTCAGGGATTCGTCATTTCCCCACGGACAACACAGCTGTGTGATGGATCATGGAATATTCTCTGCCACAAAGGCTGTTACACATACAAATACCACCTGCCCTGACAATAAGTACATCTGGGTGCCCAGGACGTGCCAGAGAGGCCTTAGTCTAATCACGTCATTCGAAAGAGGCAAATGGGTGGAATCCAGCCCAAACCTACTGAACTGGAAATTCGGGGGCCCTGGAATCTGTTTTCGCGAGCCCTTCAGAGGACCCTGATGCATGTACGAGTTTGAGACCATCACACTGACCCTCAAAACAATTCTGCAACCTGTATGTTACACTGTTTCTCCGAAGGGAAGCTCAGAGAGGTTAAGGGACCTTCTTGAGGTCACGTAGCCGCTCAGGGCTAAGGAGAGGATTCAAATTCAAGTCAGCTTCCGGTTAAAAAGCCGACGCCTTTTACAGTTAGCTTCGAGGAAACCTGGTATTATCGACCTTACGTGACCAACACACACACACAGAGCCACACACACAGCTGGACCCTTGAAGGAAATGAGGAACTCTCTTCAGAAAAGCTACAAAACACTGTACACTGGAAAACACTATAGTTTAGATATTGTAGATAAAACAATGGGGAAAACTGTAATGGACAGGAAGGGGGAAAATGGAAAAAGGGAAACTTTCTACTTTTCACGAGTAGTGAAGCATCCTGCTGCCTGGCACCTTCTCTCATTCTAGGAGTAACGGCAGTTCTTTATTTTAGCTTGGGACCCAGCCCCGCCCCAACCTCGTGGTCCCCAGGGTTCCTGCGGGCTGATCCCAAGCTGCGTTCCAAGGTGGGGCATCGACTCAGCCCTGGCCACTCAGAACCTCGCATTTCTCCAATGCCAATGATTTTGCCCAGGGATGAACACGTGACCCAACAAGAGCCACTGAGACTCTAGGCAATGAGGCAAAGCACTGGACCCGCGCCTGGAAGGGCTGCCACCATGTGGCCGTCACGTAGCGCCCGAGACGGACGCTAACACAGCGAAAGGCAGGGCCAAAAACGGAGAGAAAACGACTGCGGAAGGTGCTGCTGGAACGACTGTCCTTTCTGCTAAGTCGCCTCGGGTTTGCTTGCCTGTGCCTGGCAAATGCGAGTCACCCCGAGCCCACCCTCACAGCCACAAGGAAGCTGGCCCTGCCATCTCGGGGCCTCCCAGTCCTCATCCCTGAAACGCGGGCTCCATTCGGCTCCCTTTCCCGAGCCCTGCTCTGGCCTGGGCGCTGTGCTCGGATCCGGTGGCGTACAGGTGGAGCCTCCCTCCGGAGGGGTGCATGTTCCGGCGGGGGCGGGGCAGGAGGACTTGTGAGTGGGCAGGCGGAGTGCTAACTGCTCTGCGGGGTGGAGGGACAGGGGAGGCCGTGGGCGTTAACAGAGCAAAGAAAGGGTGAAGACATTCCAAGCAGGGAAAAGGCATGCGCTAAGGCAGGAAAGGGGGGCTGGGCCAGCGGCAGGCGCAGCCAGCGCGAGACCCAAGCAAAGCCGGAAGAGGCAGGCCTTGGACACAGAGCTTTCTGCACACGCTTTGAACCCTGGGGAGGCGGGGCCCGGCAGGCCAGGTGGACGGGCAGCTGGCGTGGAGGAGGTCACCAGGCCAGCCGGGCTGGGCCAGCTGACAGGGAGAGCTGTGCAGACCCAGAGGAGGACGGGGTGGCACAAGGCTCATGTGTGGCTGCATTCTGGGACAGGCGGGGAAGGAGGAGGGCGCAAGGAGGAACCTAGGACACAGTTCTCAGAGATGAGGACCCAAGGCAAAAGGTGATGGTTCTGCTTCAGGCAAGTGAGGTGGGAAGAGCTGGGAGACAGCCCAGGAACTCCTCCAGGCAGGGAGGGGTCAGCGGCTGGTCTCCGGGGTGCTGACAGGGCTGGGGCCCAGATCGGGGGTCACTGGCACGTTGATGGGCTGTCTGTGCCTGGAGAGGCGGCATTCCCGCGGCCGGCCGGCAGAGGGAGCTGCAGGGAGGGCCGGGATGGCGGCTGAAGGATCGCAGCTGAACGTTTTTTGGGGTGGGGCGGGGGGAGGGGAGGCAGAAATGGGTGAAGCAACAAGAGGACAGGCTGAGTGATCCCCAAGTCCTTTCAAAGCACGAAGCTCTCCAGTTTGTCATTTGCCCGAGGAACTCAGTCCACCCTGTGCGTCCACAGAAAGAGAGAACCCCTTTCTTAAACAGTGCAGCTTCCCACTGACACTGGGGACCACAGAGACCACCCCCTCTCCCGGCCGGGCCTCTCCGATGCTGCCCCGACTCTGGTCCGGACTCCAGGGAGGGCAGGTTTGGGTGACAAACTCACCAGGAAGTCTTCCTCACAAAACACTTTGCCGTTGACGAAATAAAAGGCTTTCCCTCTCAGCTTCCGGCCTAAGGAAAAACCACAAAGGCCAGGTAAAAAGAAAACGTTAGTATGCAGTGAACAAAGACAAAACAAAGGCAAGAATCTCTGTAAGCAGAAATACACACGCAAAATACGCCCACTGTGTGTAAGCGTGGATATGCCCACGGGATTACTGAAAGCTGCAGGCGGCCCGCGGCCCCAGGCAGGCTGGGGCCAGAGGACGGCCCGGGGCCGCGCCTGGTGGGACAGCTGGGGGCTGCCCCGGGAATCCTCCTGCTGGGAAGCCAGCGAGACGTTTGGTGACAGGATGGCCGAGGCACACACAGGTCGGGGGACCGGGCCACAGTGTCTTGTGAGGCTGCCATTTCCCACAGGGGTGTGGGCCCATCACCTTTGACGTGTTCTCCAGGGGATGCTGGTGACAACCTAGCGGGAAGGCCCTATAAACCGATCAACTCTTACTTTCCTTATTTTCTGATTTTTTTTCCCATCTGAACATAAAACATACACATTGTTGGAATGATAATGATTTTTCTTGTCTTCCTGTGATCTAAACGGGGTGAACAGGGAGTGGGAAAAATGCAAGCACCAGAAAGCGAGGCCACTGATGCGAACAATGTATCAGTGCCCTTGATCCCTTAGGAAAAAGCACAATGGGCCACGTGCTCAAGGTCACCAGGGCCACCCTGGGAGAGGCCCGGGGTCTGTTACTCGGCGGTCGGCCCAGCTCCGAGAGTATTTCCAGGGCCAGGCACAAAGCACAGGCAACCGGCTCCACGGGAGTTTCAACCATGGAAGGGCTTCGAAACACTAGTGGAATCAAGCCCCCGGAGCCAGGGTCCACAACATGAAACTGAAGCCACCAATGCCACAAACAACAGTGCCAGGGACAGCGAGAAACCCACTGAGTGTCCCCAGAGCAGGCAGAGCACAAGGTGACAGAGGAGAGACCGATGATGGGGACTTGTTGGAGCTTGAAGAGGACTCTGACAGAGGAAAAGCCCCAGAGAAGGAAGGAAGTTTCACTACAAAAGAAGGATCGAAGACCCCAGTGTGAAAAACAAAAGCTATTATAAGGAACTATAGGGAGCTGCCTTTGACTTGGGCACGGAAAAGGATTTCTTAGGTAAGACATAAAAAGCACATCTTAGGAAAGTAAAAACTGATACATATGACATCAAAAGTCAAAACTTCTGTTCAGCATAAAACAAAGGTCAAAGGATAAAGCTGTTGAAAAACCAAACTGCTCCTCAGCAGGGAGGCAGAAAGAGACTGTGGGAAGAGCCAGGGGTCAAAGAGGCAGAAGAGGCCCCGCCCAACCCACCCCGGGGGGGCCCCCCCCACCCACAACAGCCCGCTTGGGCGTGGCCGCGGGCTGGGAGGCTGGACTGGAAGTGGAGGTTAGGCGGGAAGGACGCAGGCTCGCGGGCTGACCATCCACTTTTCCGCCTTTGTACCCCACCTCCCAGGAAGGCCCCCCTTCGCCTGGCCTGGGCAGACCCTCCTTTGTGTGGTGCTTGTTGCTGCCAGACCCGCTGTTGTCTCTGTGTCTCCCCAGCACTCTGACTGATTTCTGTAGAACTTTCTAATATTCTGAGTATTTGCTACATTCCTTGAAGATGTGACATAATTTCAACTCAGCTACACACTAGGAGGGCTTGGCCTGTCCAAGGGCAATAAATGCAGAGCTGAATTAGTAAAAGGCAAGCCAGGGATCAGAAGGTGGCTGCAACCCAGGTAACAAGGCACTAGTACCTAAAACAGAGAGAACACCAGCCATCGATAAGACAAAGACGAATAACTCAATGGAAAAAAATGGGTAAAGGATAGGGAAAGGATAAGGAAGGGAAGGCGCAGAGGAGAGAAAACCTGTTAAGTTCTAGGCGATAACCACTTTAAAAGATGTTCAATCCCACCAGCAATCAGGATGTGCAAATTAAAACACAGTGAGAAGCCATCTCATCCCCAGATGGGCAAAACCACTAAGCCTGACGATACCATGTCTTGGTGAAGCCGAGGGACGAACGGAGGCCTTTCACACTGCTACGCGGGCGTAGGGCAGGGTCGACTGGCACTTTGGGGAGAACTTGGCAAGAGAGAGCCCACAATCCTGGAAATCTACATTCCCCACGACACAGGCCTCGGGCTGCCTCTTGGGAAGGTCTCCTAACGTGCACAGACAGAGGCCCACTGGAGCACTGAGGTGAAAACCTGGGAACCCAGAAGCACCTTTGGTGTTCGTCAGTGTGAAAGATCAATGCGTACGTGGAGGGAGCATTTGGAGTTAAGAGTCACGGGACGAGATGCCACTCAGCAGTCACAAGGAATGAGCTGGATCCGCACATGTCACTATGCGTTAAACATACTGATGTGCGAATAAGGAACGCTGCCCAATGATGCATTAATGTGATAGGTACTTATATATACGTAAGTTAAAGCATGCACACAAACTAGTACCGCATGTTGTTTACTAATACTTGTACGTGTGGTAACAGCAGAAAAACTGGGACTGACGGATCCAGGCACTCGATTCACGATAGCAGCCGCCCTGGGGAAGGGGAAGTAGGATGGGAGGCCAGATGATTCCAATTTATCTGTAATAGTCTACTTCCTTCATAAAAAAAATAAGCCAAATGACAACATATGAATATTTGTGCATTGTGGGTGATAGGTGAAGTGATTTCCTATAGCACTTTGCTGTAGTTTTTTAACTGTATGCACACCCACAAACAACTTCTTCAGATGAAATTATACAAAACAAAAGGCAAATGACAAACTAGAGAAGGCATCCACACTATGTGACAAGAGATCTCAACCCTAATAGGCAAATAACCCAATTAACAGTCCAATATGAAAAAAAAAAGAAGGTAGGCAAAGACAGATGACAAAAGAAGTATGTATGGCCCAAAAATATTTTTTAAAATCTTTAACTTTTCTCACAATTTAAGAAAAATTGCAAATTAAAATGCTATCCCATGTTTTATCAGGCTAGCAGAGGCTGAAAGGAGCAGCACTTAAGAGTTCATAGCAACACTGACAGACGTCCTCCGCTCAGCGAGGGACAGCAGAAACAAGAACAGGGTTTAACAGAATTTGGTATTAAGTATTCATAGAATTTAGAAAGTTCAGAGTATTTTGACCCAAAAACTCTACTGTAAGAATTCATCCTGAGGAAATAATCGAGGTCAACCGTTTCAAGGAGCCTCATCTCAGCACCATTTAGAATAGCCTGAAAAATGACAGGACCTCATGTCTGGTTCCTGTAAAATAAATGATGGCATTTATACCACTATGCAGCTGCAAGAAGACTGTTTTCAAAAAGAAGTTTAATGATCCAGAGATGTAATTAAGGTAGTTTAAAGGGGGGTACACAAGTGTGCATGAGTGTATGTACAGATACCGATATACATGCTCACACACCTATGTGACTGCAAAAGTATACGCACGCCTGCGCACCTCAGATGTATACCAAATGCCCACAGTTGTTACCTTTGAGCATGGAAATGGGGGATTTTTAGTTAGCTTTTTTCTGCGATGATTATTATTATTCATAGCCTGGAATAAAGTGTAACGGAGCGAGGAGTGTGAAAATGGAAGTGGGGCGTGTTAGAAAGCTACAGATCTTTAGCTCTCCAAACCTTCTTCCCTGTCCTTCCTTCAAAGTTAGTTACCCGCACTTCTAGAAGGTTCTAGAACCTTCACAAGTACTTCCTAATTCTGCCTAACTAGGATAACAAGATGAGTGCTTACAACTAAGTGATTTCAGGGTTCACTCACAGAAACCCCTGACTGCCATACGAGTTAATTTTAGTTCGCAGACTGGCACTCAGTTCACTGAGCCACACCAGCCAGGGCTGCAAGTTAATTTTAATTATTTCCTTCATTCTGAGGTTTCCCAGGGGGATGCTGAGAAAGGAGGTGAGGCTGAGGTAACACTAGAGGGAGCCAGCAGGCCATCTGAAAACCCCACAGGGCTTCGTAGAGAGAGGTGAGGCTTCTGACCCACTGGGACAGAGCACCCAGCTCCGGGTCCAATAGGTCCCGAAAGTTCTAAAGAATCTGAGCTGGGAATTAATGTTTTGTTTTAATAGAGGGCAGATCACCTCTGTTCTAAAAATCATCAGGGAAGATCATCAAACGTGCCAGGGCACTGAACCCTCCTGTATTCTAAGAAACACAAAGTCAACAAGAGCTTTTACAACTCATGATGTCAACAAAGATTTTTTTAAGCGACGACAGCCGTTTGTGATTGCTGTCACTGCATATTTCTGTAAACGACTGATGAGGGTGTAAAATCATAAACTCTCTTTGGAAAGGAAACATGAAAATGTTTACCATTGATTCTGTGGGGCGGTCTGGGACTTCGCGCAGGGAAAGAATCTGAAATGTGCGTAAATATTTACTTAGATCTAAATTGGCAGCCTTACAGAAAATGACTACATAAAACAGAGTACATCTGAATGTTAAAATATTATGTAGCCATCGAAATACCATTCAAGTAAGTGTTTTAGTGATACTGGAAAATGCTTATATTATAGAAACATAATCAAAACACATTAGTTAGTGAAAAAAGAAAGCTGGATAACTGTATTTATAGTACAATTCCATTTCAGTAATTTACACACATACCACTGATATGCAAAAAAAGAAAAACACCTGGAAGATTGCAAACTAAAACTAATTGTGGTTACTACTGGTAGATTGCATTACAGGGAAATTTTGCTTTCAATTTTATAAAATTTTTAAAAACTTGTCTGGTATTATAGATCACTGGTTAGGTTGCATGAAAGGTAAGTTTGACTTACCACTTTATACATACATGTCAGTATTTAAAATTTTTTATAGTATTAGGTACGCTGGTAGATAATATGAGAGAAAGTTCGCTTTTTGCGTCACACATTTCTGTATTTAAACTTTCTAGAAGTGTGTATTTATAATCTAAAAAAATACTTTTCAAATTTTAAAAAGAAATCCCTTATGTAATAATATGAAAAGTAAAAAAGAGCTGAGCATTGTGTAGTTCAAC